GAATTCGAGATCAGCCTGGACAACATGGTGGAATCCCATCTCTAAAAAACACAAAACTAGAAAAATTACCCAGGTATGGTGGCGTGCACCTGTGGTCCCAGCTACTCAAGGAAAAGACAAGGAACAAAAGAGTTCTGAGACAAAGCAAAGACAGTTTCAGGATTTAAAGCTAAGGATATCAATAATCACATTAAATGTAAATGTTCCAAACACCCCATTAAAAGACAGAAGTTAAGTTGGATTCAAAAGTAAGACCCAACTCTATGATGCCTGTAAGAAATCCACGTTAAAAATAAAATAGGTCAAAAGTAAAAGAATAGAAAAATGTATCATGTTAACACTAAACAAAATGAGGCTGAAGTGACTACATGTTAACAGTATCAGGCCAAGTTGATTTCAGAGCAAAGATCGTCAGGAATAAGGGGGGGGGGGTCACTGCATAATGATAAAAGGGTGGCCTCAGCCGGGCGCGGTGGCTCACGCCTGTAATCCCAGCACTTTGGGAGGCCGAGGCGGGTGGATCACGAGGTCAAGAGATCGAGACCATCCCGGTCAACATGGTGAAACCCCGTCTCTACTAAAACTACAAAAAATTAGCTGGGCATGGTGGCGCATGCCTGTAATCCCAGCTACTCAGCAGGCTGAGGCAGGAGAATTGCCTGAACCCAGGAGGCGGAGGTTGCGGTGAGCCGAGATCGTGCCATTGCACTCCAGCCTGGGTAACAAGAGTGAAACTTTGTCTCAAAAAAAAAAAAAAGGGTGGCCTCATCAAGAGGACATGCCAGTCCTAAAAGTTAATGCATCTTATAATAGACCTTCAAAATACATGAATAAAATATTGATAGAAATGCAAAAAGAAATACACAAATCAGCCAGGCACAGTATGCTCCCAGCACTTTTTGGAAGACGAAGGTGGAGCCCAGGAGTTGGAGACCAGCCTGGGCAACATGGTGGAACCCCATCTCTACAAAAAACTTTTTTAAAAAATTAGCTGGGCATGATGACGCATGCCTGTAGCTCTGGCTACTCAAGAGGCTGAGGCAAAAGAATTGCTTGAGCCTGGGAGGTCAAGGCTGCAGTGATCTAAGATCACACCACCACTACACTCCAGCCTAAGTGAAATGAGACTCTGTCTCAAAAAATAGAAAAAAAGAAAAGAAAAGAATCCACAGTTATAATCAGAGATGTCAATATTATTCTCAATAATTTATAGAACAAGTAAAGAAGAAATCAGTAAGGACAAACAACTTAAACAACACTATCAACCAACTTGACCTAACTGACATTTAAAAATACTGCCCACAACAAATGCTGAACACACATTCAAGTACTAACAGAATATTCACCAGGGAAAACCATATTCTGGACCATAAAACAAGTCTCAATAAATTTAATAGGATTCAAGTCACACAAAATACGTCCTCTGACTACGACGGAGTTAAATTACAAATCAATAGCAGAAAGATACCTGCAAATCTCTTAAGAGTTTGGAAATGTAAATGACTGACTTCTAAATAAGCTGAGGATCAACGAAGAGTCCAAAGGGAAATCAGAAGGGGTGAACTGAATGAAAATGAAAACAACATATTAAATTTGTGAGGTTCAGATAAAGCAGCACTGAGAGGGAAAGTTGGAACACTAGCAAACTCTATTAGAAAAGAAGGTCTCAAAGCAATAACCATAGCTTCCACCTTAAGAAACTAGGGGAAAAAAGAACAAATGAAATCAAAAGCTGATTTTTTTTTTTTTTTTTTTTTTTTGAGACGGAGTTTTGCTGTTGTTGCCCAGACTGGAGTGCAATGGCACGATCTTGGCTCACCGCAACCCCTGCCTCCTGGGTTCAAGCAATTCTCCTGCCTCAGCCTCCCGAGTAGCTGGGATTACAGGCACGCACCATCATGCCCAGCTAATTTTTTTGTATTTTTAGTAGAGACGGGGTTTCACCTTGTTGACCAGGATGGTCTCGATCTCTTGACCTCGTGATCCACCCGCCTCGGCCTCCCAAAGTGCTGGGATTACAGGCGTGAGCCACCGCGCCCGGCGATTCTTTAAGAAAATAAGAAAAATTGTTAAACCTCCTACCAGACTCATCAAGAAAAAAAAAGACACAAATTACCAAATCAGGAATAAAAGCATGATAAAGACTCTACAGATATTAAAATGCATTAAGAAACAAATACAGGGCTGGGCGGGGTGGCTCACCCCTGTAATCGCAGCACTTTGGGAGGCTGAGGCAGGTGGATCACCTGAAGCCAGGAGTTCAAGACCAGCCCGGCCAACATGGCAAAACATCATCTCTACTAAAACACAGACACACACACAGACACAGACACAGACACACACACACACACACACACACACACACACACACACACACAATTACGCAGGCATGGTGGTGCACAGCTGTAATCCCAGCTACTAGGGAGGCTGAGGCTCAAGAATCACTTGAACCCAGGAGGCAGAGGTTGCAGTGAGGCTACTGCACTTCAGCCTGGGTGACAGAGTGAGACTCTGTCTCAAAAAATAAATAAATAAATAAGAGAGAAACAAATATCAACAACTTTAAGCCAATATTTAAATGGACAAATTCCTTGAAAGACACAAACTACCAAAGCTCAATCAAGAAGAAACATAATATGAACAGCATTATGTTGTTTAAAAAGAAATTTAATTTATAGTTTTTGATTTTCTTCCCCAATCTCCAGCCCCATACTGCTTCACTGGGGAATTCTATCAAATGTTTAGGGAATAATACTTATTCCACACAAACTATTCCATCCCATTCTGAGGCCGATATGACTCTGAAACCAAAACCCAACAAAGAGATTACAAGAAAAGAAAATTACAGATCAATATCCTTCATGAACATATATGCAGAAATTCTTAATTTTTTACAAAATCAACTCCCAACATTATATAAAAAGGATAATACATCATGACCAAGTGAGGTTTACAAGAGAAATGCTAGGTAGGTTTAAGATTCAAAAACCAACATGAATCACATGATTAATAAGAGTACTCAAGAGAAAAATCACATAATGTCACTAGATTTTTTTAAGAAGTATTTGACAAAATCCCACATCGATGCCTGATAAAAACTCCCAGAAAACCTGGATGTACAGGGAAGCTCCTTAATATAATAAAAGATATCTGCAAAACATCTGCATCTAACATGATACTCAATAATGGAAAACTAATTACTCCCCCCCAAGATGGGGAACAACGCACACGTGTCCAGTCTCACCATTTACACCCTATGCTTTCCTGGAAGTTCCAGCCATTGCAATCAGGCCAGAAAAAAGAAAAGAAAGAAACTACGACTGGAAAGAAAGAAGTAAAATTGTCTAAGCAGACAATCTGATTATCAATGTAGAAAATCCAAGGAAATAAACAAAAAAAGCTCCAAGAACGAATAAGTGTACCAAGTTTGCAGAATATAAGATCAATATACACAGTCAACCGTATTTCTACAGAGCAGCAAACAATTAGAAAGTTCTTTAAAAACGATACTGTTTAGGATAAAAAAAATACAAAGTACTTAGGGATCAATCTGACAAAAGATACGCAAGACCTCTACACTGAAAACTAAAAACAATGCCAAAATAAGGAAAATCTAAGTAAATGGGGATATACACTATGTTCAATTATCAAAATACTTAATACTGTTAAGATACCAATTCTTCTCTGATTGGTCTTCCTTCTCTGATTCAAAGGAACCAGTTAAAATCTTGGAATTGGAAACTTAAAATTTGATTTTATAATTCAAGTAAAAATGCAAAAGAGCCAAAACAACTATGAAAAACAAGTCATTAGAGGACTTATACTACCTTACTCTGAGATTTATGTAAAGCTACAATAACCAAGAAATACAGACAAACAGATAATGGAACTGAAGAGTCTCCAGAAACAGACCCACGTATATACGGTTCACTGATTTTTGACAAGGATACAGAGGCAATTCAGTGGAGGAAGCATGGTCTTCTCAACACATGGAGCAGAACAAGTGGATATCCACATGTCACAAATGAATTCCAGTCTACACCTCACACTGTATACAAACAGCGTCTCAAATGATCATAAAACTAAATGTAAAACCTAAAACTATAACACTTCTAGAAGAAAACAAAGGAGAAAACTCTTTGTGACCTTGGATTAGGCTAGTAGTTCTGACAAGTGACACCAAAAGCATGATCCACTAGAGAACAAGTAAGTTGGATTTTGCCAAACTTTAAAACCTCTGCTCTTCAAAAGACACTATTAAGAAAATGAAAAGACAAGCCACAGATGGGATGAAATGTAACTGATAAAGGACTTGTATTCAGGGTATATAATTTTGTTATCTCAAAACTCAATAATGAGAAAACAAATCACCAGTGATGGGCAGCATGGCTGGGCTAGTGGGCAGCATTCAAGGAAGTGTTCACTCTCAGTGAGCTTTTTAAAAACATTTTTGTGGGTACATAGTAGGTGTATGTATTTATGGGGTACATGAGATGTTTTGACACAGGCATGCAATGTGAACTAAGCACACCAAGGGGAATGGGGCATACGTCCCCTCAAGCATTTATCCTTTGAGTTACAAACAATCCATTTCACTCTTTTAAGTCATTTTAAAATGTACAATTATCAGTAAGCTTTTAAGATAGCTCCTGGTGTCCACATCCTGTGTGACGCCCTCCCTGTGAGTGTCGGCTGGACTAGAGACTTTTGTTTGTAACCACAGAATACAATCACAGAATACAGCAGGAGTGCTGGAACATCACTTCCACATCAAGTCATAAGAGATGGAGCCCTGTCTTGCTCACCCTGGGGCTTCTCTCGCTCACCTGCTCTGATGAAGCCAGTCTCAGGGGAGAGACACACAGGAACCCAGGCCCTCAACCCAAAAGCTCTCAAGGAATACAGTCTTGCCAACAACCACTCAAAAAATGCCTATTTGCGGGCTCCGATTCAGCTACTAATAAGGTTACCAATAGACTTTGCCTTCTGGCTCAACTGACCTTACAGCGATGGCTCGGGGTATTCCACACCACCAGGTCAGGGAGGCCCCCTCGGCAGTGTCGAAAGTCAGCAGCCAGGCGCCTGCACACACCACTGAGCACAGGGCCCCCCAGGCAGGAGACGAGATCCTGAACACAAAACACGGGACAGTTAGTCCCTTCCCTTGTGACAGAGAACGGAAATAGGCTCCAGGGATCACAAGACAGAGAAAACTGTAATTGAGTGCACATGGACCCCAGGCCCATCACGCACTCTTCTGCCGCTTGTGCTGGGGCTGCAGCCATGGCTGGAATCCCACTGGTAAGTGGTGGGAGACTGGTCCTGTGATCCGTTTCCAGGCTCCTGCCAGTGTGGCCATGCTGGGGAGCGCTGAGGAAGAGGGATGTGGAGGACCCACTCAGGATCACAACAGCGCAGACTCACAGAGGCCAGCAGTTGAAGGAACACACTAGGTATCCTCCCTGCCTCAGCCACAGGGCAAGCAAAAGAAAGCTTTCAACTCAGGGGTGGCAAAGGCACAGCTGGGGCTTTTCTAACACCCTAGCATGTTTCCATCACTAACAGTGGCATCAGGGCTGGGGGATAGGGTATTCTTCTATATGTATACATGCACACACATACATGTAGTTACATATACCAATATGTGTGTATTTTGATAAAGCTGCTGAAAAGACAGCACTGGGGAGGTGTTACTTTCAGAGCAAATCCTGCTGTGCAGGTGAACCATTACCTGAGCTTGTTCAAGAGACGTGAAGCGATCCCAGCTGACGAGGGAAGCCACTCTGCCTTCTTGGTCCTGCCACGTGGCTGCCACCCAGGCCCGCAGGCTCTCAACGGAGGCATTGTGAATCAGCTGCAGCCTGGCCTCAAGGGCTGGGCCTCTGCTTGTGAAGAAGCTGTCTGTGCACAAGTCCAGGGGGAAAGCCTGTGTCACAGAGAAAGCAAGCTGTCATACCGTGCCTGCAGAGAGAAAAGTGAACCTGAGGACTGGGAAACTGGCCAACTGACTGATGCATTCTCTCTCAAAAGATATGTAAAAATTATCTGATATAAAAGCAATTTATTAAACGTGTTTTTTAGAGTAATAATTTGCAAAAACAGCTTTCCGCTTTGCTGGGTGGACCTCTCAGCAGGCACATGTGCCCATGTCTGAGATCCTCGGCACAGTGCCTGCAACATGGCGGGGGCTGGGGAGGGCTAGCACTGAAGGCACTTTATATGAAAGGTGTAAATGTAAGGTGGAAGCTAAATTAAAGTTTAGAACTTCATATACTTGCATCTTAAATTCTATTAATCAGATTTTTAAAATAAAAGTTATCACCTTGACCTGTGGATGACCCAAAAGACCATAACAGAGATGGTTTCTGCTAGTGGTGGACACACAGTGTCCAGGTGGGCGAGAGCCACAAATGTGTGCAGAAGGACCTCCTTGTAGGGCAGGGGCACTGGAGTACCTGACAGGCATTTCTGAAGACATCCGGAATCCCGTCCATGAAGATGATGTCCCACAGGAGGAGGCCATACAGGGTGCTGAAGGTAGAGCCTTCACCATGAATTCCTAAGACAAGGTCACACACATGAAAAAAAAATGTTTCTTCCAAAACAGCACCATAACCCACTGCACATTCAATTTCAAGAAAATAATAGAAATATTTTAGATTCAGAAGCAAATGCTGTTTTCATGCCATTCCTAGCTCATTTTGTGCAGTATATTGTTTATATACAGCGCCTTAAGGGCAAAAATCTTAGTAATCATAGAAAAATTTAAATGAACATCTCAAAGCCACAAAGCAGTCGTTCACAAACTTTAGTGAATAACCTAAGAAACATATTTAAAAGAAAAACAGGCAGATTCCCTCCTCAGGCTCCAGAGGCTGGGACTTAGCAGGGTAGGGCAGGCACAGAATCCCTGTGTGGGCCCTAGCGCAGGAGGTCCCTGGGCCACTCCCGAAAAAACGCTTCCCTGAAAGGGCCTCCTCCATTCCTGGCCTCAGCAGGTGCTGCTCTGATGCACCTCATCCCCCCGGGCACTACGCTGCCCTAGCCCAGTGCTTCCAATAGCCAAGGCTTTCACAGAGACCTCTGGCCTTAAAGGCCAGCCACTTCAGTGTCCCTCCTCACATCACACAAATGTTTTACTGATGGGAAGATGACCTGAGAGATGGAAGTCAGGTGCTGAGGTCACAGATTCAGAGGCAGTGTGGGATAAAGGGCTCGGCCTTAGCACAACACACAGACCTGTGTCCCTGAGGAAGCCTCAGCTCACCCAGCTGCCCTCCAAGCCTGTGCTTCTCTGCACATCAGCACACCCGACGGTGGAGGAGGCCACATGGACACCTCTCCCCACAAGACTACACTGGCCAGAGAAGGTACTGACCACCAGACCCCCCTCCTGACATGCCAGGTCCTCTGGCTGGTCCCACCCTGACATGTACAGGCCCCAGCCCATCCGCGCGAGACCACAGTGAGCAGGGTTAGAGGACGCTGTAAGAGCAGAGACCAGGCAGCCACAGTCCACCATGCCCGTCAGGGTCACCTCTGTCCTGCACTCCTAAGGCTGTGCTGCTCTCCGTCCTGTCTTCCTCTCAGTTCTAGCCCCTCATCCCTGCAGCCCGTCTCAGAGATTCAAAAGGCCAGTGACTCACTCAGGATTCCTGGCTGTGGCCAAGGCTTCTAGGAGGACTTTTTTTCCTAGAACACTTCATGCTCTTACCTAGCCAGGAATTAGGCTAGGACCTGATTTCCAGGAATATGGAGTCCAGATCATTTCTGAACCCCTTTTTTTCTTTTTCTATTTTGTTTTGTTTTGAAACAGGGTCTCACTCTGTCACCCAGGCTGGAGTGCAGTGGCACGATCTTGGCTCACCGCAGTCTTGACTTCCTGGGGTCAAGAGATCCTCCCACTCTTCCGCCTTCAGAGTTCATGTTATCCTCCTGCCTCAGCTTCCCAAAGTGCTGGGATTACAAGTGTAACCTACCACGCCTGGTTCGTTCCTTAACTCCTAAGTGGTCCATGCTGTGCATTTGTTATAAGTGAAATCATTTTTGGTGCAGCCTTCTGAGTAATTCAGAAATCACCTCCCAGAAGAGGCTGAGATTGCTCTGACACAAAATTCCGTGTGGCATAAAGCCTGGCAGCCAGAGTTCAGCTCCGTTTCGCTGCATCGATTTTAACCAGGGAAAAATCGTTTCTATTCTGGGAAAGGAACCATGTGTTTTTCAGGCTCATGGCTCAACCAAAAGCACTCAGGGCTCCTAGCTCCCAGCCTGCTTCCTCCTCCAGTGAGTGTCCAGTTTCCACGTCTCCTGAAACATATCTGGGGCCTTGAATGTGCATTCTATTCTTCTGTTTCTAACCTTTTCAGGCCTACTGTGTCTGTCTGTCTTCACTGACGTTTGTGCTTCTTCCCCAAGAGCATCACCCTTCCCTGTAAGTAATAAAGATATCATGTAGATGAATCTCAACACTCATCAGAAAGAACCTGCGCTTTGTAAACTCCTATCTTGTAGTTGTCTTTCTATAGTACTTGTTTATCTTCTGAACACTCAGGGAATACTGACATCATGTCCTGATTTTCACGCATTTGAAGATATCAGAGTGTTTTTAACACTGGGAACCCCACAGCCCAGGCACAGGGAGAGTCCTGCCCAGACACGAGGACAGGAGGGCTCAGTGGGTATTCCTGGAAGTGACTCACAGGGGCTGCATAGCAGGGCCCCAAGAGGACATCTGGGGTCAGCTTCTAAAATCTCACAGAAGGGGCAGGAGAAAACAGCGGAAAGACTGGATGGAAGTGGGTAGGTTGTGGGGCTGAGTACACTGTCCCCTCAACTTTTGTACAGAGACTTGCGCAATATCTTCCACAACAAGGAGTTTTTAAAAAATAAAAAAGATCAGAGCCAGGACAACTATCCCTGTGCTACTCCTTATCGTTGATAAGGGGAAGAACAGAAAGAAGACATCCCCCAGCCCGCAGAGGACAGAGAGAAGACAGCAGCCCACCACTACAGCCCATTCAGTGCTGCTGCTTAGCCACATGGGGGTTGGGTGTCAGGAGAGAAAGGCTGCTCAGTTACCCTGGTCAAAGCCGTTTCGTCTGTAATAGGCCAGTGCCAGCTCCTCCACGGAGCACAGGACTGTGGTGGGGGCAGCAGTCTCCCCAGCCTCCATCACAAACACAGACTTGCCCATCCCAGGCTGCGGGCACAGCCTGCCCGTGATGGTCACCTGAAACAGCAGCAGCAGAACATCTGTTAGCCTCAGGTCAGCGAAAGTCCCTGAAAACCTGCCTGGAGCATCCTGAGGATCGACCTCCCTAACCACAAAGCCAGTCACTTAAGAGTACACAGCGTGGGGCTCATACTCGCTTGCCTGCGGGGATGCGACAGCTCACCGGCCCCACCCACCAGAACTGCTCTCCAGGGCCCTGACAAGTAAAAGAAACTGGCAGGTGCTGAGAGGCCCCATTCAGGAGATTTATCACTCAACCCAGGGTGTGACCACGCCAAGCACCCTGGGCTCCTCAGGGAGGAGGGCATTGCGGGGAGACTGGGAGCAATGGCCACACAGCCATCCACAACAAGATTTAGATTATTCCAAGTCTAAAAGAAACACACACTAAAAACAGCTCTTAGGTTGCTTCAGTCCCAAAAAACCAGATAGACACGTCTAAGTCCAAGGCACCCACAGGCTCTTTCCTCACGTGTTTCACATCTTGCACAGCCATTTCCGGGAGCTGCTGCAAGAGGTGTTTGTACTTTTTACAGCTCGGAGACTCTCGCAGGCGCACGGCTCGCTGATACAGGGAAAGGCGGTGTCCCGTTCTGACTTCCGGATCTGCCAGCCCCTCTGTGATGCACTTGATAGCCTGGCAAAGAGTGTGGTCACACATCAGGCTCCCAAAAGACCCCATGGCAGCTTCCATGCATTCCATGACAGAAAAGCTCACTATTACTGAATTTTGCTGATTAGCAAATGAGCAAACAGCACTTCTAGAGATTCAGGCTGTTTCCTTAGATCTCATTCTGATGCTTTCAATGCACATGGCAACCACAGCCTTCACAGTCAACGTGCTGCAACGTGACTGGGCTGTGATCCAGGTGGACGGCGGATCCCAGTAGCCGCCCCTCACAAAGGGCGTGAACTTCAGGGATGCCTGACTTTACAGGAAAGCTTGGCTCAGTGGTTCTCAGGATATCACCTAGGCCGCTTTGAAAGAAAACATGTGTCCCACCCCAGATCCACACAATGAGAACCTCCAGAGCAGGAGCCCAGGTGTGTGGCCACATCAGAGCTCCAGGTTAATCTCATATGCAGTCAGGAATCACGGAGCGGCTTCAGATTCCTTATTTACAGGGACAGGAACCTAAGGTTTGGAGGAGTTACAAGTATTTCCCAAGGCGATCCAGAGTTGGACAAATAAACAGAACTACAGAAAGTCACAAGGAGATACCACTTCACACTTACTAGGATGGCTATAATCAGAAGCATGGAAAATAAGTGTTGGCAAGGAGGTAGAGAAACTGGAACCCCCCCCAGACTGCTTGTGGGAATGTGAAACTGGTGTAAACACTGTGAAGAAAGTTCAGCTGCTCCTCAAAAACCTCAACGCAGAGTCACCACAGGACCCAGCAATTCCACTCTCAGGTATTCCCAAAAGAACTGAAAGCAGGGACAAAAGCAGAGGTACATGCAGCGCTCTTCAAAAAGGCCAACGGGGAGGAACCCAGTGTCCAGGGACCGATGAGTGGCTAGGAAAATGTGGTGGGTGCCACAGTGGAAGTGTGTTCAGCCTGGGAAAGGAGCAGAGTCCTGACCCATGCCATGATGCAAGCAAAGCTCGGAAACATGATGAGCAAAATACGCCAGACACAGAACCGCAAATATCGTAGGATTCCACTTAAATGAAATGATCAGGCACACTCACACACATAAAACGTAGATGAAAAGTGGCCAGGACTGGGGGATGGGAAATGGGGCGCTGTCACCTAATGGTTGCTGAGTTTCTGTCTGGAGTGGTACGTGGAGAGTGGCAAGGGTCACACAACATTGTGAGTACCATTAATGCCACTGAACTGTCACACAACATTGTGAGTACCATTAATGCCACTGAACTGTATGCCTACAAATTACTAAAATGCCAATTTTTTTTTTTTTTTTTTTTTTTGACGGAATTTTGCTCTTGTTACCCAGGCTGGAGTGCAATGGCGCGATCTCGGCTCACCGCAACCTCTGCCTCCTGGGTTCAGGCAATTCTCCTGCCTCAGCCTCCTAAGTAGCTGGGAATGCCAAATTTTAGGAATGTTAAATTTATTTTACCACAATAGAAAAATAAAAAGTGAAAGAAAAAAATGAAGAAATTGAGTATCAGTGAAGGCTCAGGCCATCAGGAGTTGAGTGGCCAGAAGGAAAGAAGACGGGAGAAGGAGACTCTGAAGTGTACCCTGTTCACCCGCAGAAGATGGTGCCTCGGAGAGGGAGGCCCAGATGGCTCCACCTCTGCCCTGGCCAGGCCTGGGCTGGCTGCAGGGCACTTTGCAGGAATAAGCACTCAGCCAGGAGATCCCTTCCCTGGAGACTGAGGTAAAGATGAAAGAACACTAATGAAATAACAAGAGCTGGGAGTATGGCCAGTAAGACCTCTGGGAAAAGGTTTGGAGGGACTAGGCTTAGCTCCAAGCTCAAAAATCAGCTCAGTGGCTTGTCTACCCACTAGCAGAACTAAGAACAAAGGGGAAACCTGTAGTCTCTTGAACTTTGATTTCATTGAAAGAAAGCCACAGAACACAAACTTTCTCCTTCTGTATTTAGTTCTGGGCTACCAGATGCTTTCTCTTGCTATTTCAGCCTCAGTAAACACCAAGCGGTAAGGAAGCCCGACGCCCTCCTCCACGAGAGGAAATAGCTTTACTGGCTCTTTCCCTGCTACTTTAGGTAACAAGGCACTTTTTCAGCTGACAGCAATAAAAACAAGATGTTATATTTCCTATCCTGTGGTCATTTTTTTCCACCCCTACATCACCCTGATTCACTTAATGGACCACTGAAAAAATCAAAAGCTCCCAGAGGAACAGTCCTCTCCATTCAACTCCAATGCAAGGCTGAAAGAGACAGGGAGGGGCCTGCTGGCAGCCACACAAAGAATCACTGTTGTGCCTAGCCCAGAGGCCCAGCCTCTGCGGCCTCACCCTGCCTGGCTGCGGCAGCCAGAGAATCCCTGTGCTTCCAAGTCTCTCAAGATCGCCACAGGGAGCACCGGCGCCTGCTCAAGGTCAAACAGCGCTTCCCAATGGCAGAGCAAAACACCTCACAGAAATACGAAGAGTCACTGATAAAGGCCCTGCAGTTAAGATAAGGCAAGGAACCCCTTCCTGCCAATCTTTCTACCTGGAGACCCTGTGCCACAAATGAACAGTCACCATTTCCAAAACACAAAAACACCTTCCCTGAAGGTACCTGCTAAAGGCTGAGTCACCTGACTCTCCCTCTCCCTTAATTCCTAGATCCTGATTCCTAAATCCCGGCACAGCGTCCACAGCCAGCCCATCTCACTCATCAGTGAAGACAGAAGCTTCTGGTCTCTATGTTCAGGCTATGCTGGCATCCCTGGTATTCTTTTGGGGTCAGAAGAACATAGACAAAAGAAGAATTAACAAAAGAAGTACACATTCTAATTACATGGAGATTTTAAGGTATTTAAGTTTGCCACATTTTAAAAATTGACTGCAAATAAAAAGGAGGGTCAGGTATGTTTTGTTACTGAGTACCGGTTCCAGGCGTTTCAAGTGCTGGTGTAGGTTAAGAGCCAGTCGATCCCACCATCGGCCTCTGCTGTCAGGACAATAAATTCTCTGAGACAAAAGGCTTTCAAGTTCCCTGACGGCTTCCTGTTGCAACAGTAACAAAAAAACTCATTAGATTCACAGAAAATCCACCTGTAGTGATATTTACAAGCCCACAGGATTAGTAAAGTCTATTTATAATACATATCTTTCCATTCTACAATAAGGCCAAGGACCCTGGACTGCTGGGACAGGGACTCTGAGGTACCTTCTGGAGTGGGCATGAGTTCCTTGAGGCATCCCTACTTTTCAACTGGGTCCCTGCCGTCTGGCCCTGGAGTACAGACATCTGTGAGTGCTGAAGAATGTTCTCTGCAAACCAACCAACCAGTGCAGAGTCGCACAGGGTCAAGCTCCAGGCAGCTGAGCACTGGTCAGAACTGGCAAACCCACATACTTCTGGGAACCAGCAGGTCATAGGACCAGCTGCAAGAAGGATTTGGGGTAGGCAGGAAAGTAATAAGGGCTGTCCTCATACAAACACCGCAAGTCAACAGGGAGACTCTCTGGTCTAGATTTATGTACAGACTGTTCAGTCGTTCTGCTTGTTAATCTTCTGTGGCTCATGGATGTCTTTGCAATATGGAATGACTTACACCAGAAAAATGCATAAACCCCCATACACGAGCAAGTTTGACATTCTCAGATTTCCCCAAAGCCCACCCATTGATCCCCTGGAATTCACAGACTCCAGGCCAAGAACCCAGCTTAGCACATCCTCTTTGTCAGATACCATTTTCTTTTCTTTTCTTTTTTGAGACATAGTCTAGCTCTGTCACCCAGGCTGGAGTGCAGTTGTGCAATTTCAGCTCACTGCAACCTCCGCCCTTCCGCCTCCCGGGTTCAAGAGATTCTCCTGCCTGCCTCAACCTCCCAAGTAGCTGGGATTATAGGCACTTGCCACCAAGCCCAGCTAATTTTTGTATTTTTAGTACAGATGGGGTTTCATTTTGTTGGCCAGGCTGGTCTCGAATTCCTGACCTTGGGATCCGCCCACCTTGGCCTCCCAAAGTGCTACAATTACAAGCATGAGCTACTGCGCCTGGCCTTTTTAAAATATATTTTTGACCATGCCTGGCCTGGAGATAACATTTTCAATATAGAAATATCAAACACAACAAAAGAAACCTAGGAATTTCAGAAAGTTTAGTATAAGGATACAACAAATTTCTGATTTGTGATTATAAATTATCTCCAGACAATCCATGACAGCTGACAGGGAAGCATAAGGAAACATGAGATGTCCCCCTTAGAGATTTCTGGGGACCTCACAAGTCTCACGGAGTTTTGAAAGAAACTCAGGCTTAGGCTGCAAACCTGTAGGGCACCCTACAGGATGCCGGCCACCACTACTAGGCCGTCCTGGTACACAGATTCATCAACACGCAAGCAAACAGAACAGCTGATCTGTCTTCACCTGTCTTCTCTCTACAGCAGGCTGCCTACATTAACTATGCCTTCACTGGCCAGGTGCAGTGGTATAATCCCAGCACTTCGGCCCCCCCAGCATCAGAGGTCAAGGTGGGCAAATCACTTGAGTCCAGGAGTTCAAAACCAGCCTGAGCAACATGGCGAAACCTTGTCTCTACTACAAAAATAAAAATTAGCTAGGGATGGTGGTGCACACCTGTAGTCCCAGCTGCTCAGGAGGCTGAAGAAGGAGGATGACTTCAGCTCGGAAGGCAGAGGCTGCAGTGAGCCAAATCATGCCACTGCACCCCAGCCTGGGTGACAGAGTGAGACTCTGTCCCAAAAAGACAAGGAAATGCCAAGAGCCCGATCGCTGTCCTTCACATGTTTAATGCTGTCACATAGGTAATGGGGGGTCAGGAACCTGCGCTCTAACCTCATACATGTGAAGTCTCTGCAGTATTTCCACAGACCGAGACAAAATCTTTGTATAAATCCATCCAACAGTAAAACACCGCAGAAAGAGTGGTAAATCTTCGTGCCATCTAAAATGAAAATATACACCAGTAGTTTAATAATTTGATTAATTTGTTGTAAGACAACAATAAGTAGTGACAAAGTGGACTGAATTCCTATCTTTTAAAAAAAGATATATTCTAAATACTTTCAGCTGTGGACTATTTTCTACACCACAAACCCACATTCTCACAGCCAGCCGCCATGTCCTAGGTCACTCAGACAGTGGAGAAGATGAGAACTAGTCATCCTAAACCAAGTTCAACAAACTCCGGCCCACAAGCCAAATCCAGGGTCTGCCACCTGCTTTTTTATGTCCTGCAAACTAAGAATAGTTTTTACTTTGTTTTTTTTTTTTTGAGATGGAGTCTCTGTTGCAAGGCTGGAGTGCAGTGTGCAATCTTGGGTCACTGCAACCTCCGCCTCCTAGGTTCAAACGATTCTCCTGCCTCAGCCTCCTGAGTAGCTGGGACTACAGGCACCCACCACCACACCTGGCTAACTTTATACTTTTAGCAGAAACAAGGTTTCACCATGTTGGCCAGGATGGTCTCAATCTCTTGGCCTTGTGATCCACCCCCCTCAGCCTCCCAAAATGCTGGGATTACCGGCGTGAGCCACTGCGCCCAACCGGTTTTTACCTTTTTAAATTGTTAAACAGAATAAATACACTTTGGTATGTGAAAATTATATGAAACTCAAATTGCAGTGTCCACAAATGATGTTAGGTGGAACACAGCCAGGCTCCTTCATTTGCGGACGTACTATCTGTAGCTGCTTTTGCACTACAACAGCAGAGTCAAGTTGGTGCCAGAGACCATACGGCCTGCAACGCCTAAAATGTATGTGACCTTCTACAGAAGGAGTTTATCAACCTTTGTTTATAGTAATCTAACTTCTGTGATTTTTAATCAACATTATTTCTTTATAGTGTGGAGGCTGGGCACGGTGGCTCAAGCCTGTAATCCCAGCACTTTGGGAGGCCGAGGCGGGTGGATCACGAGGTCAAGAGATCGAGACCATCCTGGTCAACATGGTGAAACCCCGTCTCTACTAAAAATACAAAAAATTAGCTGGGCATGGTGGCACGTGCCTGTAATCCCAGCTACTCAGGAGGCTGAGGCAGGAGAATTGCCTGAACCCAGGAGGCGGAGGTTGCGGTGAGCCGAGATCGCGCCATTGCACTCCAGCCTGGGTAACAGGAGCGAGACTCCGTCTCAAAAAAATAAAAATAAATAAATAAATAAATAAATAAATAAATATAGAGTGGAGCCTTGAACAACATGGATTTAAACTGTATGGGTCCAGTTATATGTGGATCTTCTTCTGCCCCTGCAACCCCTGACACAGCAAGACTAAGCCCTCCTCTTCGTCCTTCTCCTCAGCCTATTCGATGTGAAGACAACAAGGATGAAGAGCTTCATGATGAACCACTTCCACCCACTTGTTTTCTCTTCCTTATGATTTTTTTTTTTTTTTTTTTTGAGATGGAGTCTCACTCTGTAACCCAGGCTGGAGTGCAGTGGCATGATCTCAGCTCACTGCAACCTCTGTCTCCCAAGTTCAAGTGATTCTCCTGCCTGCCTCAACCTCCCAAGTACCTGAGATTACAGGCACCCGTCACGATGCCCAGCTAATTTTTGTATTTTTAGTAGAGATGGGGTTTTACCATGTTCGTCAGGCTGGTCTCGAACTCTTGACCTCAAGTGATCCACCTACCTTGGCGTCCCAAAGTGCTGAGATTACAGGCATGAGCCACCATGCCGGGTCCCTTATGATTTTCTTTCTTTTTTTTTATTTTTGAGATGGAGTTTTGCTTGTTGCCCAGGCTGGAGTGCAATGGCGAAATCTCAGCTGACTGCCACCTCCACCTCCTGGGTACAAGCGATTCTCCTGCCTCTGCCTCCTGAGTAGCTGGGATTACAGGCATGTGCCACCAAGCCCAGCTAATTTTGTATTTTTAGTAGAGATGGGGTTTCTCCATGTTGGTCAGCTGGTCTTGAACTCCCGACCTTAGGTGATCCGCCTGCCTCCATCTCCCAAAGTGCTGGGATTACAGGCATGAGCCACCACGCCCAGCCCTCTTTTGATTTTCTTAATACTTTCGTTTCCCTAGCTTACTCTATTGTAAGAAAGAATGCAGCATATAATACTTATAACATATGAAATGTGTGTTAATTGACTGTTTATGTAATCAGTAGGGGTTCCAGTCAACAGTAAGCTATTAATAATTAAGCAGTGGGAAAGTCAAAAGTTACACACAGATTCTTCACTGTGTGAGAGGTTGCTGCCCAAACCCCTCCATTACTCAAGGGTCAACTGTATATCCTAAACGGTTTTTTGAAAGAGGCATCTGAAAATACTAATTTTTTTTTCATCACTATGTAACAACAGAGGAAAAAATGTCTTAACAAATATTGAAGATGTTTAACATTTCAAACAAAAAGATCATTTGCTGTGTACTTGGAACTCTGAAAGTTCGCTTGGGCTGTGTTTTTCAGAGTTAATACCTACTTGAATCTCCTTCAGAAGAACACACCTATCATGTTACCCACATCCGTCCTGCTGCTGGCTTCCCTCACATTTCAGTTCAGCTCACCAGTCCTCAGGGAGGCCAACATCCCTACAAATGGCATTCGACAAGCCAAGAATGGGACTAGCACGTGTGTTGCTCAGGAATCTGAGTTCTATCAAATTCACTTTAAACCTCTGGACATTTCCTTCTACTTCACACAGCACTTTCCCTCTAGGTACAGCAGGTAAAAATTCAATTCCACAGCTGGTTTAACCACAGGGCAAATGGAGTATATTCTTCATGAAGAAAACGACTGTGTTTGCCAACTTGTGGCAGGCACCCAGAAAAACTCTCACCTCAGAGAAGGGTGGTTTTTCAGTCTGTTCCAATCCCTTTTTGCACACTGAGCGAGCTCCTTAGCTTCTTCCCAGTTCCCGTTGGCCATTGCGGAAGAAATGTCACTCAGCATGTGCACGGCTGCTGCATATCTGGAGGAAAATGGCATCCAAGTTCCAGACATGAACGAGCATTCCCATAGAACCACGACATCCTAGCCACTGGATCTAATTCTGAAGGGTAAAAGTGTGTTTTTTAAAATATGAGGGCACTTACATTTTATTCTAGTAATAATCTAACTTAAGTACATCACTGGAGTGGCCCAGAAGAACTGATACAGAAAGCCAACTAGAAAGATAAAAACATTTATGCTGTATTCTTACATAACATGTTCCATTATATAAATATGATATGGATCAGCTCATCATTCCTATTTTGGCACATGTCTGTAAGAATATACTATTATTCTCCCCATTTGACAGATGAGGAAACTGAGGCACAGGGTGGGTTCATACTTCATTGGTATAGAAACTGGAACTTGGCTTCAGAGTACACATTCTCACAAGCCAGAAAAGCATAAAGCCAGTAAAAACAAAAAAGGTAAAAAAAGATATGAGACAACTGAAAACAGAGTATGAAGAAATAGTCTCATTAGAATATTTCACTAAAAAAGTTATTCCAATTGAACACAAATAAGATACTAAGCTTCCTGACAGCTAAGGTAAAATGGTTAAAATCAGATTATACTGACACTGCTGTGATTCAAAAATTACAAGAACTTCTTAAAGCACACGGCTTTCCTAGAAACACTTAAAGGACTTTCCTAAAATCAAGCATCAGAATCAATTGTGGTTGAGTCAGAAATCCAAATCTAAAATCAAAAGTGACATTTTAGGAAATCCAAATTAATTTTTCTTACAAAAGGTGTTTTTCTAAGGAAATCCAATTTTTTTCTGTAAGATATACGCTATTCTTTCTTATCAAAATCTACTTTTTAATACTGTAATCCCATTATTTGTTTTGCACCTATTATTTTTCATTGACATGTAACTGCACATACTTATGAGGCACAGTGTGATATTTCAGTGCATGTATATAACACATGATGATCAAATTAGGGTAATTAGCATATCCGGCACCTCAAACTTTTTTGAAAATGTTTTAGAGACGGGGTCTCACTATGTTGCCCAGGCTAGTCCTGAATTTCTGGGCTCAAGTGACCCTCCTGCCCCAGCCTCCCTAGTAGCTAGAAATATAGGCATGTGCTGCCATAGCAGGTATCGCCTCAAACATTTATCATTTCTTTGTGTTGGGAATATTCCAAATCCATTCTTCTAGCTATTTAAAAAAGCATAATAAACTGTTAATTATGGTCATCCTACACTGCTACAGAACAACAGAACTTATTCCTTCTATCTAGCTGCACTTTTGTATCTGTTAACCAACGTTTCCCTGTCCCCTGACCCCCTATCCTTCCCAGCCTCTGGTAACCACTATTTTACTCTCTACTTCTGTGAGATTCACTTTCTTAGCTCCCACATATAAGTGAGAACATGCAGTATTTGTCTTTCTGTGCCTGGCTTATTTCACATAACACAATGTCCTCCGAGTTCAACCATGTTGCCACCATGAATGTCACTCTTTTTGATGGCTGAATAGTACTCCATTGTGTACATGCACCACATTTTCTCTTTTTTTTCTTTATATGTATTTATTTTAAAGACGGGGTTTCACCATGTTGGTCAGGCTGGTCTTGAACTCCCGACCTCAGGTGATCCGCCCGCCTTGGTCTCCAAAGTGCTTGGATTACAGGCGTGAGCCACCACGCCCGGCCCATGCACCACATTTTCTTTATCCATTCATCCACTGATGGCCACTTGGGTTGATTCCATATCTTGCCTATCATGAATAGACTGCAATAACATGGGAGTACAGATATCTCTCTTCAATACACTGATTCCTTTGGATATGTACCCAGTAGTGGGATTGCTGGATCACATGGTAGTTCTACTTTTAGTTCAAAAACTACTTTTACTGGACAAACCAAATTTTCACTAAATCCATGTGCCAATATAAATTAGTGAAAACTTCTAATTCATCATTTGTATGATATCTGATTATCATATCATATGTATGATACACAGTATACAAGTTATTAAAACTTTACCTAAAGTGTTATTACTAGGAAAACATTCATCTTCAGTCTTGTTCATGCCAACAACATGTTCATAAGCCAAGTTTGTTAAAATGTCTGTGTCAAAAAAATACACGCCAAGGGCGATGGCTCACACTTGTAATCCCAGCACTTTGGGAGGCCAAGGTGGGCAGATTGCTTGAGTCCAGGAGTTTGAGACCACCAGGGCAACACATGCTGAAACCCCATCTCTACCCAAAAAAAACAACAATAACAACAAAAATTAGCTAAGTGTGGTGGCATGTGCCTGTGGTCCCAGCTACTTGGGAGGCTGAGTTGGGAGGATCACTTGGGCCCAGGAGGTAGAGGCTACAGTGAGCCGTGATCGTACCACTGCACTCCAGCCTGGGCAAAATCCTGTCTCAAATTAAAAATAAAAATAAAAAAACAACTCCCTGCTAAAGGTACTTGGAAACATAAACCAGAGAAAGCTTTTGTAATTCTAACTCAAAATTCCTTGGTTTTGGCAACCATAATTTCGGCACATTTCTACATTTTCCCTACAGTCACAGAAATGTATACAAGTCGGGCAAAGAAAGAGTAAAAACTGTTTTGGCTATGCACTTAATGTGTCTACTTTGGCTGGAAAAAAATAAAAGCTTTTACTAAATTGTAAAATACACACATAGATATCGTAGTGAGCTAACATCATCTCACCTAATAAGATCATCTCTGTCTTGGAAAATTTGGGTTTTCCGATTGATGGTGTAACTAGGAAACTCCATTCGGCCGAGGTTGACCAACAGGACCGTTGAAAGCTGTCCCTGACCTCCACAAGCGGCATCTTCATCTTCCATTGAGTCAGTCAGTGAAAACAGCAGCAAGATCCGGGAAAACACAGCCCTGGGGCCTTTACAGATTCGTACTGACTGTCCAGCCAAGGCTTTAGCTCTGAAAAACGTACAATGTAGAATACCTTTTAGCTTTTTAAGCATTTGGATGTCAGATTTTACAAATTATTTTCAACTAAAGAGAAATGACATTCACTATTTTAAACACTGGAGCATTACTGAACTGCTCTGGGGCACAGAGCTCACCCAGGGATACACAGGAGTAAATAAATATACATCTCCAAATGGTTCCACACATGGTTTGGCTCCCTAAAAGTGCTTCCTTCCTCAGCCGTAGAGTAGGGTGGGGTTTACCCTGGTCATGAGCACTTCAAATACGAGGAAAACTTTCTTAAAAGTATTGCCTGGTCAACATTAAGAAATTCTCGATTTTTGATTCAAGTGATGATTTAGATTAAATAATGGTATTTATTTAAAATGTCATTATCATAGGCTCTGGGTAAAACATCAGATTTTGTGTACCAAGTTATGGTACAAACGTATACACCAAAGTTTGGTGCTGTTCTCTAGTGCAGCAGTCAACGATTTTGGCACCAAGAGTGATTTCATGGAAGAGAATTTTTCCATGGACTGGGTTTGGGGGAGGTGCTTTGGGTTGAAACCGTTCCACCTCTGATATCAGGCAATAGATTCTCATAAGGAGTGCCCAACCTAGATCCCTCGCAAGCGCAATGCACAATTGGATTCATGCTCCTGTGAGAATCTAATGCCACTGCTGATCTGCCAGGAGGCGGAGCCCAGGCAGTCATGCCCACTGGTACACTGCTCACCTCCTGCTGTGCCACCCAGTTCCTAACAAGCAATGGACAGTTACCGGTCTGCGGCCTGGGTCTTGGAGACCCCTGCTCTAGTGTTTAGAGTAGTCCAGCAGCATCTCTATTCTAGGTTAACACTGGAGTGAATTCAGTTCAACTCTGATGTCTGCAAGGTGGGCGTAGAGGTCTGAATTAAATCCAGGATCACGTGGGCCCTCTGACTCTAGCAGCTTAGACACCATCGAAAGCAGGGTTTTTCAGCTTCAGCACTGCTGACATTTAGGCCAAATAATTCTTGGTTGACAGGGGCTGTCCTGTAAATTATAGGATGCTCAGTAGTGTCCCTGGCCTCTATTCACTAGATGCCATTAGTATCACCACTTCCAGTACTGACAACCAAAAATGTCTCTAAATGATGCCAGATGCCCCCAGTTGAGAACCACTGGCCTAGTGAAAGATGTCACACCCTCCTGGTGCAGAAGCTATTAAGCCAAAAGCAGCACTGCATCCCTGAGGGCATGGGAGAGATGAGTGCCACCATCACGGAGTTGAAGGGGAAGGGGTGGGATTCCTATCATATAACCACTGAACTAAGAGCCACTCATCTACAGAGTGCCCCAAAGTGCCCACTTCATCTACCTCCATGCAGAGTCCCAAGGATGCCCCCAGTGAACACGGCCTCCAGGCTGCAAAAGGAAGCATGAAATGCAGAAAATTAAGTAGTGACTCCTGCAAGGATTATGAAAGTGTAGATAATGTGCCTTTTTCTGTAATAATGTGCCTTTTTTCTGTTTCTTTAAGATAACAGCAGAGTAAGAGCACCAGGCACTGCCCTGACATGGGGCTGCCAGGGACTCTGAAATTTCACTGCTGGGCTTTACATCAAAATGAAGAAATAAAGGACAAACTTGACAGTGGTTTTTACTACAATTAAAACCGCCTTGAGGATTCTATTTTCCTACAAGTCCAAAGTCAATGACAAAATATGTTCATCTTATTAATTTTATCTGTTCTATGTTAAGTGCATATACCAAGAAAGGGCTGCTAATTTTATTTTTTTTGAGATGGAGTCAGGCTGGAGTGCAGTGGCACAATTTCAGTTCACTGCAACCTCCACCTCCTGGGTTCAGGCGATTCTCCTGTCTCAGCGTCCTGAGTAGCTGGGATTATAGACATACACCACCACACCCGGCTACATTTGTATTTTTAGTAGAGATGGGGTTTCACCATATTGGCCAGGCTGGTCTCTTAATTCCTGACCTCATGATCTGCATGCATGCCTCAGCCTCTCGATGTGCTGGGATTACAGGCATGAGCCACCATGCCCAGTCAGAGGGCTGCTAACTGTAATGTTTACTTGTCCACAAAATGTTACATACAACGTTAACATCAAATACTTAAGAAATAAAATTAGACACAGGACTTAGAAGACATTTAACATATCACATGGATAAGGATCCATACTTCTCAAGTCAGTTAATTACAAATAAGTAAAGCATTTTTTAAAAACCTACAATACAAACTTTTTTGAAGTGTAGGTATTGATGTATTTCTTAATATCTGCCTTACTATACCCGTGTTTTATTAAAGATTTGTATTTACAGTACCTCCCCAACAAGGATGGGCTCATAACAATTGAATTATACAAAATAAATATATAAAATAAATAACTTCATTTTAAAGTGTTTTCAAAAGCATCCTTTCATTTCATCCTCAATGACTCCAGAGTAGTGAATTCCCAGACTAAATTTGATATAGTTTGATTACATAAATAACATGGGCAAAAGAAATCAATTCTAAAAGTTTGTGTATTTTCAAATTAGTTCAAGGGCTTCTCAAAGACAAAAGAAACCACCAACAGTTTTGGTAAACTGCTGTGTTTAAACTCTGGAAAATTTGCACATTAAGACTGCCTGATTATACTTTGTTTAGTAAACAAAAACTTTACTAAAATAAAAATGTGACTGCATAGTTTAGTCTAAAATCCTGTAAGAATCACTTAAAACTGTATTTTTCTTGGAAAATAAAACACTAGAATTTACCAAAGGCCTATTGCCTTTCGATGGTTATAACAAAAATTTTGAATAATAACCCAAGAAAGAATCCAGGCTATCACAATTAAGGCTTTTTCAGCCTTCTCAATCTAACTGCAACTGAAATATACAATTACAATTCAATCACATATACAATCCATTATAAGTTATTATGTGCTATCAACATTTTAAATTTTTTTTACTATAATGATAGCCAACAAAACCTTTTTAAAATCACTGCACCAATTCCAGGCGTATTCTTGCCCCAAGTGCAGACTGAACGCTGTTTGGCCAATCTGAGAAAGCTGTCCACCAGCTGCTGTTTCTGTCCATTGGGATTCACCAAGTGGAAGGTCTTGGCCAGGGATTTTAGTTCAGGAGCAGAAAGGAGTTCAAGCACTTCAGAGAGTTCTTGCAACTCAGATTCTGAAATGGTTAAAAAAAAAAAAAAAAGGTTTTTAAAATTTTACCATTTTCTAGCTTTATTTACCTCAGTTAGATGAAGATAAAATGAAATTCTACTTAGAAAATTTTAATTAGTTGGCCAAACCAATCATTAAATGTGGAATTATTAACATGGTATTGTTAATGTATTCATAACGCTACTATCATATCTATTAAAAGTTACCAAGAACGGGCATGGTAGCTCACTCCTGTAATCCCAGCACTTTGGGAAGCCGAGGCGGGCAGATCATAAGGTCAGGAGATCAAGACCAGCCTAACCAATATGGTGAAACCTCATCTCTACTAAAAATACAAAAATTAGCCAGGTGTGGTGGCAGTGCCTGTAATCCCAGCTACTCAGGAGGCTGAGGCAGGAGAATCACCTGAAGCTGGGAGGTGGAGGTTGCGGTAAGCCGAGATTGCACCATTGCACTCCAGCCTGGGCAACAGAGCGAGTCACTATCTCAAAAAAAATAATAATGAAATAATAGAATTTCTCACTAAAATGTAAAGCAAGTAAGACACACAAGGATAGCCATTACGGTTTGGGCATCCCAACACTTGTTTGGAACATATGCTCCCTGCCTTTCTCGTCACAAAACCCCTACAAAACTGGACCTCGCAAACCAGGTCGGAATGAACTGATCATCAGCCCTCTCCTCCCACAAGCCTCTCCTGCTCATTCAGCATTCATGAGCCTGTTCTGCTACTGTGGGCCCCGACAGCAACCTTCACGTAGCAATTCAGCTCAGTCAGACCTCGCAGGTCTTTACTGTCAAGGCTTCACAGTTTAGGGCAGCACCTTCTTCCTCCATTCAACAAATATTTATTGGGTGTACACTGTGTGCCTGGTAACGTTCTAAGGCCCCGGGCATGATGCTAGTGAAAGAAATCCCATCCACAGGAGCTAATCTCCCAGCATAATAGTTAAATGAATAGGCATATATATCAGGTGGTAATAACCTCTCTAAAGAAAATCACAACTTGGGGGGGGCAAACTGAACCTGGCAGGAGGCTTGCTGTATTTCACACAGTGCAATCAGGCAAACCTGGGACAATACAACACCACGCAGAGGTGACGGAAACGAGGAGTATGCCGTGTGGCTATGTGGTAGAAACTGACCTGGCTGGAGGGGAAAGTCACTCCAAGGCTTTGAGACAGGAGTGCACGCATCCTGGTGAAGAATGCTGAGGGATGGGTGGCCGTGGCAGAGAGTGACAGAGACACCAGGGCCAGGTCTCATGGGGCTGGAGCATGGGCAGGACTTGCTCTTGACTGAGTGCTACAGTGAGCACCAGGATCCTGGTTTTGTTGCTCATTTGAAGGTAAGTCAAGATTCACCTGCAGGAATCACCTGGCATGCCTGTCACACATATGAATTTATGGAATCTGCACCAGATTTTCCTAGTCAGATGAGGACTGAGCCAAGCTCCCAGGTGACCCTGCTGGCACTGATGTGTGGGAAGCGCTGCTCTGCGACATGTCCTCTGTCCCACCAACCATCCACATCTAAGCTCCTTCACTGAGCTTTATGCCTCTGCCAAAACTTTCCCCAGCCCACCCCATCCAGCCCCTCTAACAATCACCCTTCAATACTTCCTGCTTCCTTTGCTTCATCCCCACTTACTGCTCCCCACAACAAACTGTCCCAAAGAAAACATCTGGCTGATTTGCTTGTTTTGGTCTAAAATGTCAGCAACTTGAACCTAAGGCTCACATTTCCCTTTTCTAATACAGTACAATTTAGTACCCAATACATGGGTAGGTACTTAACGAATGCTACTGATAAGGAAGGGTATCACTGCAGGAGACAGATTCTCCTTAGTGTTCACACAGGCTTAAAGCAATTCAACAATGCTTCAGGCAATCAACATCATCAAAGAGCTGTATGTGTGTGCATGTGCAGCAGATGAAGTTTTTAGAGGCCATACTGGTGTCAGACAACCAGCTTTACTCTATCATAAAGATGAGGACCCTGAGCAAGATGAGTCGAGTTCTTGCTGGAAGGAGGGCACCAAGAAGGGGTGTTATTTCTTCTGTGGCACACACCCATGTCTATCTCCAGGTGACTTTTGTTCTAAATCTGCCACAGTCAAGAAAACAGCAGCAGACAATCTTTCATTATTCTTAACTCAAGCTAAGAATGGCTTTAGCAGCACATGAACAATTTGTTGTTCTAAGATTAAAAATCCTATTAAAAAACAGTAAGTTACCAGGCGCCACCCAGGAGAGGGCACCATACTAACACCGCCACCATTCTGCAGAAGCTCAGCTCTTCAAATCATATTTTCATTTCACATTTCCTTCTACTAGTCATACCTGTCTGTAGAAAGCCTGCATGCTTCAATTCTTCAACCACAGGTGTTAAGTCTGAGGCAATCTCTTCGTATTCTAATTTAGTCATCTTAATCCAGCTTAATTTACGTTGAAAGAGCCTTACATATAACTTCTGACCAGTAGCTGCAATAAAGTTAAGAAAAATGGTGAAAAACACTTCATTTACCTTTTAAACCTAAAGTGAATAAATGTACTATTTGAAAATACACATATGCTTACAATATGTATAAGATCATCATTTTATGGTATAAACCATTTTGAAAGTACATTTAAAAATTTGGTAACAATTGGTCATTTTAAAACTTCTAAAATCACTTTCCCCATTTTCTGGCCATCAACATTTCTACTCCCTCAGAGAGGCCCTACCCAGAATTATTTAATTCTCTGCTTTTAGTTTAATATGCATTATTCTAATTTGATTGAAAAAATCTGAAAATAATTTTCCCAAAAAAAAAATGTCTAGCTTTAGTAGGATAGTCATCTCTAACCCAGTAATCTTGGCCAAGCTTCTTAATTAACTTGTTTGGCCTCAATATCTTTATTACCCAGATTATCTTTAAATTTCAGCCAACTCTAAAATGGCATAATTGTATTTTCAATATTTCCAACATTTATTTTCCTTTTTTCTTTAAAAAGGCAAAACTGACCTGGCATGATGGCTCACACTTTTTTTTTTTTTTTGAGACTGAGTTTCGCTAACTGCAACTTCTACCTCCCAGGTTCTGGCAATTCTTTTGTCTCAGCCTCCCAAGTAGCTGGGATTATAGGCGCCCACCACCACCCTCAGCAAATTTTTGTATTTTTAGTACAAACAGGGTTTTACCATGCCCAGCCTGTGGCTCACGCTTGTAATCTCAGCACTTTGAAAGGCTGAGGCAGGAGCATCGCTTGGGACCAAGAGTTCAAGGTTACAGTGAGCTATAATTATGCCACTGCACTCTAGCCTAGGTGACAGAAACTCTGTCTCTAAAAGAACTTAAAAATACAAAAATAAAAAGGCAAAAACAATTAGCAGTAATTATTTCTACACACCAACAGATTGAACACGATTCTCCATGGAGTATAAGACACAAGCATATGCAGAACTTGCACTAGAAACACTGTTCTTATTTCTCAATTATATGGAAGCACAGAGCCACCAATCACTGAAATACTCGCATGAATGCAATCAGCACCCAACCAAAGATCTGTGACTAGTTTGGATAGAAGAGCCAATGTGCTATCATGTTCATCTTCCCATGAGAACAGCAGTAGATGGAAGTGGATACTACACACAGCTGTGCTCAGAGAAGCAATACTGCTCACATGTTAAAAAGTAACAAGGAATACTATAATTCCACCATGCAAATTTAAAACAGAAATCCTTCTCTTAAGCATTAACAGTAATGTTCAGGATTTTTCATTTTTTATCTACTGAAGAGTCGGGCATGGCTGTATTTTACTGAAGGACAGGGTGGCCATCCAGTAAGTTTTTTCCTATCCTCAGGGACTCAGTTCTACAGACCCATCATGGCCCCCTGTAATAACACTGCAAGGACACAAGGGTGGCTTTTTACTACAAACCTGCACTGCTGGCTTGGAGCCACCCCCGGCTGCCAAGGACTTGAGGCATAGACTAATATTTTTAAATGTACCAATTTGAACTTGAAAGTTTCCATTTCCTCCACATCCTGTCTTTAAAAGGCACAGTCAATGAGTCTAAATGTTGTTGGGAGAAAGAAAATAAGCCTCAGCTTGGTTTGTTTCTTTTTTCCTGTATTTTATTCTACTTTCATCTTTGAGGAACAAAACAACCTAATAAGAAGCCTGATTACGTGCTGAAAATGCAAAGTACCCTTTTCTAAGTCACGCTGTATTTTTTTTTAATCTGGAAAAGGTTATTTTACAACTGTCAAATATACCTATAAAAGAAAAACAGCTGCTACCAATGTAACCAAAGTTCAGCAAGAGTAAGCATCACCTGGCCCAAAATATTGACTCTTTTCCATGCATCCCTCTCAATAAAACCTTTTGAGTATGCTCTGACTCCCATGAACACTCCCACAGAGTACTCACTACACCACAGTGACTCCTTGTGGTCACTAGACTACTGCCCATCACATCATGCCCAAATCAGAGCAGCAAACGGGGAACGAAAACTTGAAAACATAGTTAACATACCTGATAACTGATAAAATTTAGTTATAATTCCCTTCTCCTGCTCATCAAAGAGCATCATATCATCTTCATTCTCAAGTACGGTTTTCAGCACCACAAGGAAACTCCGAAGGTAGTAAGGATGACTGGTTGTTTGATCAGGACCATTGCAGCTTGACCCCTGCTCCAAAGGAATGCTACGAGAGATATCACTATCTAAGCCACTGTCACCCTGCCGAGGAGCCTCTTGGATGTTACTCCATGCAGAAACATCATCTGCAGAACTCTGAGATTTTGCCTCTGAATCTGAGAGCTGTATTTTAGCTTCTGAGGCAATAGTCATTTTTACTTCTTCACAACTACATGCTTCACATTGTCCAACCACTCCTGTGATACACTCTTGCTTTACAAGACTGTCCTCTGAAGTAGATGTTAATGTATTCCCAAGAGTGAAATCTGGTGAAAATAACATGAGCGCATTACCTGAGAAGCCAGGGGTGAGGGCTGATTTCTCACATTCCTGGGTAGCCTTTTGGCTTTCGGCTTCCATTATTTTATTTCCTCTTACCATGCGTTCGGGAATACACTCTTCCTTTAGAGAATCACATATAAACATGTTTTCTTTTTGAGAACTGTTCTCCAAAATTTGATCCTTGTCCTCAGTTTCTGAAGAGTTATCAACCAGGCTCTGAATGACCGTGGATTTGGAATTCTGTGGACTAGAACCGGCAAATTTTTCATCCTTATCTATTGATTTTTTAGCCCTTATGTATTTTCTGGACAATTTAGATGCTAGGCTTCCCAAAGAAATGACTTTCACACTACGATTTCTCAGTTCATCTTGATTTTTGCACACCAAGTCATCATTACTTTTAAAGTAGGGACTGGACTTCTGTTCCATTTTTGCTGAATCACTTTGGCCAGCAGTTAAATTTGTCTTTGGTGGTGGTGACTTCTCTGACGTTACATCTTCTAAAGTAACACTGGTTAAATCTACCGTAGGCACACTAGAATTTATTAAGCCAACTTGCCCTGGATCAACTAAAACGACGTCATTGTTAGCACACATTTCATCAAGGTGCCGGTTTAAGTCATACCTAGGCACCATTTTACTGCAAACGGGGCAGGCAAGTTTGGCAGGTGGTGCATTGCTAAAACACGAAATAATAGAATTAGATGCTTTTTTCTTATTCTTGCTGATTGATAAGCTTCTACGAGGCTTTTTTCTGTCAGAAGGTTTCCCTTCTGACATCATAAATATTATAAAAACTGGGTGTTCTGACCAATAAAACACAGAATATTTAATGTGAAAGATCGCTTTGGTTTGCTTTTACTTTCTTGGCTTGAAAGCACCAAAAGTGGGATTCTATATGATCTCATGTTATTCGTCTAGACAATTTCTTCTTCCTACAAGATGAAACATACGAATTAAAAACACTTTTATGAATTCAGCAAGGGGAAAAGCGAACTCTAAAACGTGGAAGAGCAAGGTCTCCTGGGATGAAGAGACCACCCTAACCTTAAGACAGAAAACCAAGCCCCTCCCACCAGCTCTGCACGAGATCTTAGTATCCCTTACCATAAAATGACAGAGCCGGACTCGAAATTTCTAGAACGTCTTTACGACCTAAAACTATCCGTTTCTAAAAATGAACAATTTGACCACTTCAGGGCAGACCCTTTACAAGACCACGGTATGACTTTTTCTGAGCGAGACGGAGACTATCAGCGAGTGGCCCAAGGTGATGCCCGCCCCACCGGCCCGCGCAGACGAAACGCCCCAGCCCCGCGCAGCTGCGCCCGCGCCGGTTGCCACAATTGCGACTTCTGCGGCAGAGCTGAGGCCCCGGCCAGCAACGCGGGTGCTGCGGGGCGAAGGCCGCGCACCTGGGGCCACGCGACTAAGCCTGAGCTGCCCTCCCTGCTCCCTCCAGGCCCGGCTGCCCTAGCGTCCACGCTCCTTCAGTGCCAGGTAGTCCTAGAACGCCGCGCAGCCGCCTCGCACCTCCCACCTGGCTCCGCGCGCCGGCGCTCCCAGGCATTCCCAGCCGATCCTTCCGCGTCTCGCTTCCACAGGCTCGGCAAGTGGAGGCTCGAGTGATCGATCGCCTTTCCTTTCTACGTGAAAGGCTCCCATACGACTGGCCAAGGCAGGCACAGCCCCGAAGCGGGGACCCGGGCACCTCCTTCCTTTCCCACCCGCAGAGGCAGGCGCCTGTGCGTCCCTGCACGCCCCCGCGCGCCTCCACTGCGGCTGTGCACTCTGATGATATTCCTCTACCCGATCGGGGGAAGGGGGAGCAATCTAAACGTGTTTGTTGGGGGAGCATTCAGTGTCAAACCGAGCAAACAGCCTCCTGGGGAAAGACGGGCTACTTCTGTAACCAACAGGCAATAACATGAACTCTACTTGGATAGACTTCTGAGAATCAGCGAGAGGGAGTTTCAGTTGGAAAACCACTGAGCTGGGTTTTCCAAAAGACAATGCTGATCACCAGTTATCTGATATCCTTAAAGTAATAACATCAAGAACCAAGAAATAAAATGCAGGGATTAGGAAGTGATGCTTCTTGAGTATTTATTACTTCTATTTTTAACGTAATTTATTTTTAAAGTTATATGATTTATTTAACTTTCATTAATGGCTGTGTTTAACAGTTGAAAATTTAACAATCAGCCCCAAAGCACTGACACCAACGTGTTGCAGCCCACCATGAATGATCTAGAGTGCAAGCTTCTTGAGATCAGGGGGTTGTGTTTGTTGCCTTTACTATAACATCTGACGCTGCCTGCAACAGCGGCTAGTGGGTAGCGTTGTGTAATTGTTCATAAAAATGCATTGAATGAGGGCATAAATAAATGAGCAAACCAAAGAGAATAAGGATCTAAATGGGGAATTCATTAACTAGAATGTATTAAGTGCCTACCTCATTCCAGGTAACATTCTAGATTCTGAAAACATGGGAGGAAATCCTTCATGGGAGGGAGGGGACGTCGTCGTGAAGGATATATTCTGGTGGAAGGGGATAGAGAAAATAAAATTTAAAAAGTAAACTATGTCGTGAAATTGAAGACAAGAAAAGCCAGAAAAATCTTGGGGATGAGAGGATTACAATTTTGAAAGAGTGGTAAGGAAAGGCCTCACTGAAAAGATGACATTTGAAGATTGACATTGGCCTGAAGGAGGTAAGGCTGTGGACTGAGAGATCACAGTAGGCCAGGAAAAAGCAACAGTACATGGGCCCTGAGGCAGAAGATTGCCCAGCAGGCTCTAAGAACACCAAGGAGGCAGAAGAAAACAAAGTGAGGGAGGCAGCAGAGAGCCGGATCATGGAGGGCAAGTGTTAGCAAGTTTGTTCTATAAAGGGCTGGGTAGTAAATGTTTGAGGCTTCTGAGACCACGTGGCTGTCAGGCAGGTCACTCACATAAAGAGACCACCAAGCAGGCTTTGTGTGAGTGACATGGCTATTTATTCACCCAGGTGTGAGCTAGCTGAGTCGAAGATTCAGTGGAGGGCGGTGAGATAGGAGTTGTTTTTATAGATTGGGGCAAATGGTTAAAGGTGGTAATCTATTTTAGGGAGGGGAAGGACATCAAGGGATGCATAATCACAAGGGTAGGGGTCATTTATTACAATCAGGCATGATCATAAGGGTGGGGGTTATGGGTTGCAAGCAGAGGTGAGGGTGTGGTAAATTACATAGCTATAGGGGTGGGGGTCTTGAGAAACCCAGTGTCCAGGAGGAAATTTTCATAAGGCTGAGCAGGGACAAAGGTTGCAGTTTGCAGGAGAAGAGCAATTAGTTGAGGCAAGAACAAGCTGTTTCACTTCTTTCTGTGGCCACCTGGTTACTTGTGGTTACTTCAGACTCTCTGGCTCCTGGGGATCATTCAGAGGTGTATGTGCAGGTCACAAAGGCTATAATGGCCAGGCTTGGACTTTGAGGCCTGACAGTGGCCTCCATCATCACTAGGCAACACTGCTATTGTAGTGTAAAAGCAGCCATAGATAATATGTAACACATGAGTGTGGTTTTGTTCCAATAAAACTTTATTTACAAAAATAGCTGGCTAACTTGCCATCCAGCTACTGTTAGCCAGGACCTGATGTAGGACCCCGCAGGTCATTGTATGAATTTGAGCATAGACTGAGTAAGATGAGAGGAGGGGAGACAAAGATATTGTAGCATAAGCTCTAAAAGGACCCCTTTTCCTGTTGCATTAAGAATAGAGCTTGGGGCCGGGCGCAGTGGCTCATGCCTGTAATCCCAACACTTCGGAAGCCAAAGGGGGCAGATCACCTGAGGTCAGGAGTTCCAGACCAGCCTTGCCAACATGGAGAAACTCCATCTCTACTAAAAATACAAAAATAGCTGGGCATGGTGGCATATCCTGTAATCCCAGCCCTGTAATCCCAGCTACTTGGGAGGCTGAGGCAGGAGAATCACTTGAACCCAGGAGGCAAGAGGTTGCAGTGAGCCGAGATCGCACCATTACACTCCAGCCTGGACAACAAGAGTAAAACTCCCTCTAAAACAAAACAAAACAAAACAAAAAAGGCTGGGCACGGTGGCTCATGCCTATAATCCCAGCACTTTGGGAGGCCAAGGTGGGTGGATCACCTGAGGTTAGGAGTTCGAAACCAGCCTGGCTAACATGGTGAAACCTCATCTCTATGTTAAAAAAAAAACACACACACACAAAAAAAAACAGAGCTGGGGCACACAAGGAGGGAAGGAAGAGAGGGGCAAGGAAAACAGAAGGCTGATGCAGTAATCCAAGGAGAGATGATAGTGGCATGGGTCATGGCATTTGCATTGCAATTGATAAGAAATCATCATATTCTGAATATATTTAGAAGGCCGAGCCAGCAAGATCTGCTCATGGTAAAGGCGGTAAGGTACAAGAGAAGAAGAGTCAAGGGAAACTCTGAAGACTTTGGCCTAGCAACTGGCAGGATGGAGGGGAAAGAGTAAGAGTTCCATTTCGGACATGTAAGTTTGAGATACTGGTTGGACATTCTTGTGGATGAAAACTCTTGAATTGATTAGCAAGTCAGGTCAGGCTGGAAATATAAATTTGGGAGTTATTGGCATTTAAATGGTATTAATCTGAGACCAAGGATTCACCGTAGATAGAGAACTAAACAGGGAGAAGACTGAGCATTCCAATAACAAAAGGCAGGGCAGTGAGGAGGAGCCCACAAAGGAGACAGCTGGTGCAGGAGGAGGATTCTGGCCCCAATAACAAATAAGCTGATGAGCGAAACTGATATATAAAACCTGTCAACCAAGTATCTGTGAATCAATTGTATAGATTTTAGGCTGGAAAAGCATTACAAATCTATTTGCTTGGAGACATATAGTGAATTACCCTTAAAATGATCAACTCTGCTACATTATATACCACTCCATTCATTCATTCGCTTATTCAATAATCACTATTTGTTTTGCCTATAGTGGTCAAAGAAAATCTCTCTTAGATGTGCCATCTAAGATGAAACCTACAGATAACGGAGACAGTCTTATAAAGATTGAAAGATTGGGAAACACGTATTCCAGGCAGAAGAAACAGCAAGAACAAATTCTCTAAGATGCAACTGAGCTTGGTAAGCCTGAGGAACAAAAAAGTGAGCATGGCTAGTGTGTGAAGGAGGCAGAAGCTGAAGCTGGAGACTGAAGGGAGCCAAATTCTGCTGGGCTCAAGGGGAAGAGTTTGCCATTTTAAGTGTAATAAGAAAACATTAGAAGATTTTAAGCAGAAGGATGAAATGATGATTTACACAAAGGAAGAAGAAAGGGAGGAAGGAGGAGGGGGAAAGGACAGTGATTAGAAAGTTGATGCAGCATTCCAGGCAAAGGATGATGGCGATTTAAGCAGGAGGTACAGCAGTGAGTATGCTGAGTACGGTGTGGAGACAGAACTGACAATTGCTAGGGAATTAGATATAGAATAGAGAAAAATGAAGACTTCAAAGTAGCGGCCTAGTTTTATGTGTGAGCAACTGGAAAGACAGAAGTGCCATGCACTGCGATAGGCACGGCTTGAGTGGTGCGGCATGGGGAGAGGACTTCAGGGGATTGCAGAGTAGAGATGGGTAGAAACAACTTTCTACTCTATTTTGGACACAGTGAATTAGCGATGCTGAGAGTACCAAAATTTTAAAAACCGTGAAAAGCTGTTCAGTGCAGATATTCCAGTTGTGTGCTACTGAATTCCAACTAAGTTCAGTCTGTAGTTGCTGCGAGCTGGGAAGGAGAAGCCACACAGTTTGCGTGGAGAGGGATGGGGGCCGGAATAAGCCTCAAGAGGAACTTCTAGGCGTTAATAACTGAGGTTAGCTTCATTTCAGTAACATTCAACTGAGAGATCCATATTGTAAACATTTTAACCATTTTTTAAAATGTTGATAGCCTAGGAAAGTATGAACTCGGAAAAGTGATTTATATTTCCCTTTACTTTCCCCCAGCTTCACAATTTCCCAGAGGCCGACAACCCGCGAACATGCGAGACTCCGGTAGCACCTGGAGCCCGGGATCTGCGCACTTACGGGAGGAAGCACTCAGGCACA